ATTCTACAACAGTGTTGTATTGGTAAACATCCGAATCGTGCCTGATCCTGTCACCTGATAAATGGCCATCAATGCCCAAAACTAAAGCTGAACCTGATTGCAATGAGCTGAAGAAATCAGCCTTTATCGGAACTGCTTCAGTACCCAGTGTTTCTCTACCAGTTCCAGGCAACTTTCACACATGGCAAGACCTCGTTAAAGCCACTAGTAGATCCCTACATGGGGCGGCTGCCGACACAGACTCCCCTATAAAGGCTTCTGAGTATATTGTAGTGGAAAAGTTATTTCTGGCATAGGCTCAGATAGACTCCTTCCCTATGGAAGTTAAACATCTAAAGGCTAGACATCCTGTTTCACCAAACAGTCGCTTAGGCTCACTTGCTCCAGAATATGATGATGCTACTGGTCTCATTAGAGTGAGCAGGCAACTACGACGTGCTAGTGATCTCGACTTGGAGTCCATACACCCAATTATATTAGACCTTAGCCATCATATTACAAAATTGTTGATTAAAGAAATGGACCAACAATTCCTTCACCCTGGCTCAGAGAGGGTTCCAGCAGAATTGCGCCGCCAGTATTGGATCCTTCGAGGTCGACAAGCAGTTCGTAAGCATCAGCATACCTGTCAAGATAGTCAGATATGGCGAGCCAAACCTCAAACTCCACAAATGGCAGATCTCCCCCCTGCACATTAAATCTGTATAAGCCACCTTTTTGTTCTACGGGTGTGGACTGCTTTGGACTAAATGCAGTCAAGATCGAACGCCCACAGGAGAAAAGATGGGGGATCATTTACAAATGTCTAACAACACGTTGTGTTCATCTGGATCTGTTGGAGCCTATGGACTGGGATGCTTTCCTTCTTTCCCTACGCCGTTTTATAGCCTGACGAGGCAAACCTATGGAACTATTGTGTGATAATGGCACCAACTTCATCGGAGGTGATCGGGAGTTACGTGAATTCTTTGAGGCCATGTCACCAAAGCTACAGGAACAGCTGGCAGAGCAGAAAATCAGGCTTCGCCATAACTCCAAAATGCTCCTCACTTCGGAGGGACTTGGGAGCGTGAGATAATATCAGTTAAGACAGCACTCCAAGTAATCCTCAGAGAGCAGTCAGTGCCAGAGCCAGTTCTGCAAACTCTTCTGGTGGAAGTGGAAAACATTCTAAACTCCAAGCCACTAGAATACGTATCTTCAGATATCGCGGATGTAGACCCTGTGACTCTACTGCTCATAGGTCGCAGAGATGCCTTGCTACCCCAGGTCTTGTATGATTCTAGTAACCTGCTTGGAAGATGAAGATGGAGACATAGTCAGGTGCTAGCAGACTGTTTCTGGACTACCTTTATCCGTCAATACCTACCAAGCATGCAAGGCCGTCAAAAGTGGACAATGGATGGGAATGAACTGGCAGTAGGACAAGTTGTACTTATGGTAGATCCACAGCTTTCATGCTCCCGTTGGCCTGTAGGAACTGTAACTGAGGCTTTACCTGGAGCTGATGGCCACATTCGAGTGGTCAGAATCAAGGTTAAGGACAAAACATACACTCGTCCAGTCGTGCGACTGATCCCACTTCCTCCTCTTGAGGACAATGGCTGTTTTTCAATTCCAAGAACACAAAGAACGGACTTGTGTTTTTGTGGAGATCGGTCTTGCCAGGTAACCTCGGAAGAACGAACTCAGGAGACCACGAGGGCAGAGAACGCGTCCTTTGAGAATTGAGATGCTGCGTTCTTCCTGATGGTCACATGACCTTCAAGTGTTTTAAATGGTGAATTATTTAAACATTCATACAACGATTTGTTTTTCCCCTTTTCAAAATATATACTTTCTATGTTGCACAATATAAATAAAACAGATTTTAATACGAATTTCACCAAACAAACACCTTTAATATGTTTATTCCTTTATTAAGATGTCCATGGTAATGTTTACTTTCACTGTTTCATTTAGGGAAACTCCTGAGGTAAATAAGTCATATCTCTGAACTTTAATAATAAATTTAAATAAAACGCAGCGCTTACCACCTCCAGTCGCAATGACTTCTGGGACTTCCAGAGCGAGTTCGGTACTCAAGTCTGCATCGTTGCGTCCTCGATATCAAGATCAGATCCGGGAAGTTTCACGCGTCCTTCGTACTTGCGGTCTGGAGTATTGGAACTGAACTTGGGCAGCTGATGATGTTGCACGAGAACACGAGGACGCAAGAAAGATAAAGAAGGCATATTGAGAAATAGCCAATGATACAAGCTCCCCTGACAGACTTTCTTAATATTCAATTATCTTGTCAGATAATTGGGGGCGGCTGTGTCAGAAAGCCTGCTTGATGGACTAGGAACTAAAGTTCGTTGCATGTTTCTAGGGGGGACGATTAGTTTATGGAACCTGCTGTTATGTTCTCCATCATTGCACCTGCTGATGTTGTTTTCTGTAATGTGTTCATCTTATACAAACCATTATATCTTATTCATTACTCACTAGCATCACCCATAATTGAGCAATCTGATGATTATGTTGGAGAAAATAAAAATTTCAAACGTCAACACTTCTCCTGCCCTTCTGATTCTCTGACCGGAATCTGGTCCATATTTGGCCGCCTCAACCAGTGGAAAATATACATGTAGTAAGGTTTACTACATGAAGCATCCCCGCAACCTCCTCTCTTCACTCACCCTCTCTTCATACATACTCACACAGAATGGTCATTTCAAAGTATGAAGGTTCTTAATGAATCCAAGCGACTTTATCTATCATGTTTGATATCATTTAAAATGTCTCAGTGCGACTGGTACAACGGTATCATTCCCTCAGAAATAGACATAATCAAAATAATAGATATATAACTTCAGGTACCTTTTGAACCACTGCTAAGGGTGTGCCTTCACTTAGGGGCTTTTATTCAAATGACAATTTGTTCCCTATATGCAGAAACTATTCAGATCTAACATGCCACTAAATGCAAATGTCTTTTGATATTTGACACAGCCCTTTCCTCAAGTAGATTCTTGGTTTGAATACTTAAGGGAAAGTTTCTAAATGTTCAGAGCGATTTTATAACCAGATTAGCCCGTAGTGTGGAGCTTCATGCTCCATACTATATATATATTTTGAAGTCAGGTATGCATCTTTTGATTCTGAATGTATCTTTGATAATTTGATGTCTTGTATTGATCATTTATGAATTGAATAAATTAATTGGCATAATACACATTTACCCGACTACACTGCAAAAAATGCTTTTCGTACTTAAGATTTTTTTTGTCTTGTTTCTAGTCCAAATATGTAAAAGTTCTTAAACTAAAAAGCATTTTCTAGACAAGCAAAACATATAGTCTGGTTTTAAGAAATATTATACCAAAATGAAGTTTTTCCTTAAATCAAGCTAATCTGCCAATGGGGTGAGCAAAATAATCTTATCACAAATCGAAAAACAAGATTATTTTGCTTACCACATTGGCAGATTATTTTGCTTGATTTGAGGAAAAACTTACTTCATTTTGGCATATTATTTCTTAAAACAAGACAATATGTTTTGCTTGTCTATGCTTCATTTAAGAACTTGTAGATATTTGGACTAGAAACATGACAAAAAATCTAAATAAGAAAAGCATTTTTTTGCAGTGTGAAACCACCTCATAGTAAAATTGGAGTCAGATGTGAGTTAAATTTAAAGTAAATCAACATTGTGTTCTGGAAAGATCGAACGCAGTAAACCTTCGTGCACCAGTAGACACCATTGTTGGACTAACTGGCTGGACCTTGCATGTCAATCATTAACATTGTTAATGATATTTGATCATATTGAATGTATTAATTTATATAATTCATTCACTAGTTCTCTTGTCGGCTTAGTCCCTTTATTAATCCGTGGTCGCCACAGCGGAATGAACCCCCAATCCAGCAAGTTTTTACGCAGCGGATGCCCTTCCAGCCGCAAACCATCTCTTGGAAAACTTATATAATATCACATGCAAAAACAACCAAAAAAGATTACTGGTTAACTTAAAACTACCTACATTGAATTCTTCACACATGCACAATTATTATTTTAATTCATATAAAAGTGTAACATTTTGAGTAGAAACAAATAGTAAAGCTGTTGTGACAAGCTAGCATTTCTGCCTTCTAGCTTAGCATAAATCATTGAATCAGATTAAACCATTAGCATTTCAATAATTTTACCATTTAAAGCTCGACTCCTCTGTAGTTATGTTATGTACCAAGCCAGACACAAAAAATAATAATAAATAAATAAATAATAATAATAAATAAATAAATAAATAAAATTTGCTATTTTGCCATGGCTGCACAATATTACACAGCACAACACACTCCCCTTGTGCAAACAGGTGGTCATGTTGACAGTTAACTTGCTTTTTAGGTGCTGCGTAATGTCCTTAAATCTGCTGCAGCTATGTTATGGCAGCAAAATTCTTTGATTTTTATACTGGAATGAGAGTAGTTTCTAGCCATATTAGCAAAAAAGCAACTTCTCATTTTCTGTCAGGAATGGTAAACGATGTAACTACAGAAAACTCAAGCTTAAATAGGAAAAGCAAAATGCTAATAGCATGATCTGATTCAGTGATCTATGCTTAGGTAAGCTAAGCTAAGCTAAGCTAAATGTGCTGCCACCAGACCCTGAGATCAACTGTTTTTTTAAAATGGAAAAATTCAAGTGTTTAACTCTATGTGAATTAATACACTTTTTTTAAAATGTGTTTTTTTTTTTTTTACATTATTTTACAACGATAGATGTTTTCAGAATGTAACTGGAGTTAACATTGAGCTAATTCATAGATTCACAATGTAAATAACCAAAAAAATAATTTGTTACATAAATCAAATCTTTAAAAAATAGAGGAAAAAAATACTAATGTATTTTCAGCTTTTCATACAGATTCTGAGTATTTTTCAATTCTATTGTAGCAAGTCATAACTACTTTTTTTACTTTCCTGTGTTGATTCAAGATTATTATAAAATCCCAATGTTTTTCTTTTTACAAATGTGTTCCTGTTTACTTTATTAGCATGTTGATTTATAAACAGTTATTTTTATGATTCTCCACTTTATTTGTAGACATTTTCAAATCAAGCGCAACTTGTTGGGAATGTTAAATAAAGTCAGGCACAACAAACATCAAATATATATATATGTGTGACATCCCTGGAATCAAGACTGCAAAGAAAAGACATCAAAGATGTTCTTAGAATAATCAAGAAAAAATTCCAAAAGTGAAAAGCCAAGTACAAATATTGAAAGTACAATTTTGAATGTCTGAAAGCTGTATAAGAAATACATTTTTAACATTTGACGAACACATTATATCATTTTTTTAGCAAACACTGATATTTATATATATATATTGGCTTATGGAACAGAAGAAACAGAAAAAAATAAGTTTTAGTATGGTTGGCAGGTATGGTCCCTTTTTTGATGGATGAATGTTTTGGTGGTCCCACAGGAGGTCTGACATCAGATAGGCTTGTACAGGAGTGTGGTCACGTACTTCTTTTTGTATCGATGTGTCGCACTAAGGACCATCACACCATCCTGTGAGGAGAAATTAAACAAGACACTGGAAATCACAACAATATTCTAAACGAAACATTTAAAGGCACAAATCACCTGAAATTGAAAGGTCTGTCATTTACCAACTTTTATGTTGCTCCAAGCAGTCATAATTTCAGGAATATAAGACACTAGTCATATCTATTATAATATTTTTAAAAATAGCAGCTTTATCATTAGACAGGCTTTCTTTTGAAGAACACATTTTTATTCTGGAATTCATTAGGTTATTAAATGATGACAATATTTTCATTTTAGGCTGAAATATTACTAAGGGTGTAGACTTTTTTTTTTTTTTTTGATAATTTCTTTGATTAATGTACTTTTAAAGTGTGTGTAGCATTGTAGCAAACCTTGATAGAAAGGGCGTACAGGTGGTTGAGCATCACATGGTTTGGTTCAGGCAGTAGGGTTGGGTCACACTGTAAAAAAATCAAACAGAGGAGCCTGTTGGAGAAATTCTTTCTATAGTCACACTCAGCAAATTTCTATGGGCTCTTTATCTTATCTCTTTATGCTAAAACCATTGTACAAAGAGTAGCTTGGTGTCCATTTTTAAACAGTATGAAAAATGTATGAATTCACAGTTCACCCAAAAATATAAATTCACTGATCATTTACCCCCCATCCACTTGCTTCTGTTGAATACAAAAGAAGATAGTTTAAACAACATTGGAAACTCCTAGTACTTACCCCTCTACTTTGAATGTTGCCATACTTCCATCCACCTATTTGTATGTACATTTTAGATATGCGCATTAAAAAATGGTTGATGGAATTGCCAAGTTGCGCATAAAAAAATTACATTAAAAATGTATGCCCATAACAGAGTAGGAAAAAGTTTTTTTTTCTACAAGAAAAAAATCCACATAAACTATAATAGAAACGGTTTTCTGTGCCTTCTGAGGTTCAAGTAATTTATTAAACAAAGAAAAGATTTATGTAGCTACTCCTACCGCAGTAAATTCCATTTTTACGTTTGATATTTGTCAGCAGTTAATCAGAAAGTGACGATTTTGTTCTCTTTGACTCTTTATTCTCGCATCATTTATGCGATAATCCAGTTTTTGGCATAAATTTAATTTACATCTTTGAATGGCTATTAATCTTTGAATGGCTATTAATAACAACAACAATAATAATAATAATAATAATAATAATAATACTTAATTTTGTTTGTAAATGGTGCCTTTCTGGACACCCAATGTCGTCTTACAACAAACATTAACAGCCATACCAGAACAAATTAAAACAACTAATAAAACATTGCCAAACAAGATTTTTAATATTTGTAAGGAGTTGCAGGTAAAACACAACATGAGAATAAAATAACATGTTAAAAAATAGTTTTAAAAAGCCTGCTTAAAACGATGGGTCTTAAGATGAGATTTAAAAGTGTGAAGACTATCACTGCTCCTTAGATCCAGGGGAAGCGAGTTCCATAGTCAAAAAGCCGCAGAGGTAAAAGATCTGGCACCCATTGTGCTAAATCGAGTGCAGGGTGGCACCAGGAAAGAGCTGCCTAATCTAAGAGTGCGAGAAGGGATATAAATATGGAGACATTAAGTGAAAAGAAGTATTTTAAAAATCAATCCGAAAGTGAAGCTGATAGAGAAGTGGTGTGACATGCTCGTGAGATGAAGTCCTAAAGATGACACAAGCTGCATGGTTCTAACCAGTTGGAGCTTATGAAGAAGTTTGGAAGGAAGCCCAGGAAGATTTAAAAAAATTATAGACTAGAAATTGTCTGTGAAGTAGTGGGTCGTAACGGAACGCTGTTGGTTTCTCATTCAGACGTGAATGAAAGTGTTGGTTTTTCATTCAGACGTGAATGAAAGGCGCCGGTGGATTCACAGGATTTTGTGGTAGATTGCTGTGGAATCCCTTAGCGAGCTGGTGCATTTTGTGGTACACCTATAACGATACTGATAAGTGTAACAGTAGTTGAGAGGTGTACCTGCTCCTTCACCCGGAGTTAGAGTACTCAGTTGATGGGTGTTTTGGAGGCTTTTGGGACATTCTTGGGCATAAAACTTGGACTGGTTTTCTATTTAGTAGTGGACTAAATTAACCCGAGATTGTAATTAGTTCCACCACTGCTATCTAACTGCATCACAGACAAAAGGCATGCCATAAGAATAGTGTAGGTCAGATTATTAGGGAAAGAAATAATTGAATAAAAACAACAAATAACATTATAAAAGGGATCCATTAGATAGTAGTGGCCACAAAAGTCAGACAAGATACCTAGAAATATCAGGGTGAGGTTGATTGATCAATTGATCACCAGGAGATATACCGAGAAAAAATATGACCCTAACTGGATTGGACCGGTCTGGACAGTTTGCACATCTGGGGTTGGTTTGCAGATTCATCAAGCAGAAGCCAAGCACTGTTGGTAAGATTGCCCTCTCAATTTCTTGCTGCTTTTGGTGTTGAACTCTGATATAAAAAAGAAATAGATGAGAGCAGAATGCAGTAAATGGCTCAGCTAAGCTCTCAGGTTTAAATTTTTTTTTTAGAACTGATTTTAAGAAAAAAAAAGTATTCCTTTGGCATTTAATTGTCATTGAAAAGCTAAAATCTAAATATTGAGGGGCTAGTAGCAAAAACTAAGCACAGAAACTGACAGTAACATTATGGGAATAAAGAATAGCTTATGTTTTGTCTTAGAAGATGATAAGATTCTGTGTGACTGCACTGCTATCTTGGTTTGGCCCTCACCAAGAGCTTGGTTTTTGGCTGTAAAAATAACAGAGACATGTCTGAATAAAAATGTGCCAAGTAAGTCTGTGCAAACAAGCAGCTTCATGGTTGGATTTATATATATTTAAATTATATATATGTAACATAAATGGGGGTTTCAAATAATACTTTGATGGATGCAGTTAACCCCTGAAAGATCTAAAACTATTGTTGACTGTAACAGCATTATTTTGAAAATGCATGTCAACTCTGTTTTATATGTTTTAGGACGGGCTTAAGTAAAAACATATTACAATAAAATTATGTTATTGAAGTTATTGTTATGTTTAAATTTAGTAAACATGCATTTTCGTTCTAGATTGCTCAAAACTCTCTTTCTCTCTCATTAGATGTCAGCTAAGAGCTGCTATCTGCCTGTTCTATAACAATTGATAAGCACAGTGCTCTGTTGGAAATCACAAAGTAAAGGAAATGCTAGAATGAATACAGAAATTCTACATTTCAATTTGTATACACTAATAGAGGTATTAGTAATTAAAAATCAAAGTTAACAAATAAGAGATTGCAAAATTCTTTTGTTTGTTTTCCCAGTGATGGGTTGCGGCTGGAAAGGGCACCAGCTGCATAAAAACGTGCTGGATAGGTTGGCAGTTCATTTCGCTGTGGCGACCCCAGATTAATAAAGGGACTAAGCGAACAGAAAATGAATGAATAAAAATTCTTTTGTTAAAGTATCTTGAAAAACACTAATATACCCCCTGAGCTATAGAGATAATTAATTTGAACAGTTGTTATTACTGTTTGGAAATTTCTTGTCTTGTCTTCAGTGGTTTATTACTGTTTGTAACTTTTCTCCTATCCTTAGTCTCCACCATCACATACAGGGCCTGATGGCTATACTGAGGTAGTAGACCCTGACACTGATTGGATCAGGGTGATATCTAAACTCCCTGAATAATCTCAGCTTGATATTCAGTTGATTTAAGTGTTTGATAAACCTGTCTCAATGTTTGAATTCTAGTAGGTAGTCTCTCAATGACTTTCATGGTTCTTGACTGCGCTTTACCAAGTTTGCAGAAAATTCTAAATCAAGGAGGAAGCCTGCACAGGAGCTTGCAGTGTGAGTGGCATTTGACCAGTGGGCACGAAGGGGGGTTCCCTAAGACGGGTAAGATTTTCCCTTGGCCACAGCGGAAAACAACCTAAGGCATGGGACCCCTCGTAAACCCCGGGGCATCTACCCGAAAAGGGGGATGTTTAATGTGAAAGATGGTGCTGGACTGGGGTGATGCTCTATCGGCCTAAAGCATCCTTAGAGGGGAACTGTTTGAAGTTACAGTAATCTGCCTCAGTGGCCCCGTCCAGACCTGATCACGAGAATCCTGCCTTTATTAAGGACATGTTTATCCTTGTGACAAGCATCAACGGACTATGCCAGGGTATGATACCCTGAAGGAGATGATTAGTAAAAAGATAATGGCAATGGGCTTTCAAGAACTATTGGAGACAGTAAAGTTTCCTAAAATTTTACCAATATCAATGTGGTTGGCTGCTTTAACAGCACTGGATATATAAGGTCTGATTTTAAAGAATGCTGAATTCCTGAATGTGAAGCTGAGATGATTTTTAACTGATGTGTCTGATTTTTCATAGTATTTTACTGATGCAGGTCCTTATGCATGACGAAGGACATTTTCGAGATGGTGTTGGCTAAAGATAAAGACTGGCTATGAGATGGTTTGGATAGCACAGCTGCATGGAATTAAGCAGTTAAGGTAAAATTATTACAAGAAATTCTCTTAGTCTTTAAATAGTTCCAACTGAGTTTTGAGAAATAAAATTTTAGACATTTGGAACGCTGGTGAATGATTAAAGATTCTGAATTGTAATAATTTTAATTTTATAGTCTAAGACTATTGAAAATTTATGTGCATGAAACAGAGAGACAGAGACTATTTGAGTGAAGCCATGAGTTGTGTTTTGTTTCTGTTATCGACTTGCTTAGCAACGATATTAAGAAAACAAAATGCACCAGCTGATTGTCTCAGAAAATACATTGATTATGAACGGAAACTTTGAAACTTGATAAAAGATCATGTAAATCTAGTTGAAACTGGACAGAGAATTTTAAGAATAAATTTGTGCGAGTTCAACATCTAAAGGAAACTTAGTTATGAGCTGTCACCATATGCATATCTATGGTACAATAATGCTTATTGTCCTGAGGGAATGATTCGTCCCTGTTGTATGAATATTGTCACTAACCTCTGGAATGAGTGTTATATTATTACAGATTGTATAAGCGAAATGCCAGACATTGCAGAAGTCAATAATGCTGAGTTAATCTGATGAAAAGATGATGCAGACCATGAGATGAGCTTTAAATGGATGGGTTATCCAGCTCTGTTTGCAATCGTTAATAATGACTTCCATTCCTGATTCAGATTACTCTCTGGAATAATAATAATTTTAAAACAAGTTTTATTAGCTTATAGCTGTGAAATTGAAGACTGCCATCCATATAAGGTTACAAGCCCATGTCTAAATTGACTGAGAAGTTCAAAGGTTAATTTCAGTTAATTCTTTGCTATCTGAATGTTAAAGAGCCCATATTATGGGTTTTTGAAAATTCCCCTCCATGTAGTGTGTAACACAGCTCTAAGTGAAGTGAAGTATCCAGCTAAGGCTTAAATCTGTTAGTGTACAGTGTTTAAAACTGTTGATTCATCTATAAAAGAGTCGACTCATAGTGCTTCAAACGAGTCACCTTGATACCGATTCATTAGGTGTTTCGCCATGACGTACGAACGAAACCAAGTTATTCACGTGCACGCGCAAACCCGGGAGATTTCAAACCTGCGGCCCCGCCCTCTGACGCAGAAACCCAGACACACACAAACACACACACACACACACACACACACACACACACACACACACACACACACACACACACACACACAAACATGCCGGTCGATTGAAGTCACACTGCAGATGGATATATTGAGTCTCTACCCAAAGATGTAACCTCAGCATTATAGCCAAGCAGTTGGAAACTACTGGAAACTTCTGGAAACTACATGCTACAAAGAATACTTCATCAGCGTTTGTTAAAGGAAGGATCAGTAAAGAGTAACTTACTGATGGACGTCAGGATGGGTTTCTTCCTTCATTTCTCAAGTGTAAGTGCGTGTGATTAAAGTTGTTGCCTCGTTGACTCTAGCTTGCAAATGTATTTAGTTGTGATTTGTTACTTGTAACCGCGTCTACTGTCTCAGGTTAACTGGCTATATTCTCTTATCGCGTGCAAAGTCACGTTAAAAACGCGACGCGTGCTGTTTGTTTATGGAGCTCCGTGGACGAGGAGTAATGTGTGTGTGTGTGTCTGTGTGTGCGTGTGCACGCGCTGTCGTCCGTAAGTGTGTGTGTGTGTGTCTGTGAAAAGAGCAGAGTGAAAAGCTAGGAGATCTCCTTAACTGTTTTTGGAGTTTTTGCTCAATAAAATAGTCAGTCATCTGTATTTTCAAGTCCATAGTCTGTAATTACATTGACCCACTGGCAGCTAAAATCCACACCTACACTATCGAGCGTGTATGAACTGTGATTACTTTTATATTGCTGATTAGCTGTTTGGCATTTCACTCTCTGACTGAAGGCAGTCGACCAATCGCAACAGACTGTCATTGGTCCAATCAGCGCAGATTAGCTTCGTGCTAAGGAGGGGTTTGGGAACAAACGAATCACTGGACGATTCATACGGGAGTCGCTGGGATAATTAGGTAAAAATAAATGCAGATTATAAGACCATGAAAGAGTTTGTTGACCTTGCATGCATATTAAACTGTTGTTGGAGACCCTTACAACCAAGATATGACCCTATTTGATGTATAATATGGGCTCTTTAATGTTAAATATTTTAGACTTGATGGCATTTAAACGGTGACATTGGCTAAGTCTCTATCCACAATAGTCTAGAAAGCATCCTCACTCTAGCTAGGAAAAATAAGCAGAGAATTGAGTTGAAGTCATTTGTGTTAAAGGCAAATGCTACAGTAAATCACTCTGTCTATGTGTATGTGTCCTCCATTAAGGTGGAGGTGGTCCTCCTAATGGTAGAGGAACATAATTGTTTGGATGTTGTATAGAACAAATAGATAAAGTTGAATGAAAGTGTTTGCATCTGACGGTTGAATTCACTAAGAATTATTTATACTGCTGCAGCAAAAATGAACATTTTAGTAAACAGAAATGCAGCGTGAACTATAACAGCATTTTTAAGCAGTCAAGTCAACTCAAGTCAATATTATTATCGTGAAAACTGACAAGTTGTACAGAAACTTAGACTGTCTTTGAATGAAAATTTAGTAGTCCATATCCAAGCAACAGTCTTGATTATATGTGGTAAAATAGTTGTTAATTCAGTCTGTTCTTGTTTAATTGGTAACACTTTCAAACAGGTTTCACTGTCAAATGACATGTATGAAAGACATGTATCATGTAACAAAAGTTTGAGCAAATAGCTAACCTGTGAGCATTTCTAATTGACCAGACAGTAAGAATCGAATGAATTTTATACAAGGTGTCTGCTTCTGGTTATGTTGAATGGTTTAGTCAGAGTAAAATAATATGGTACAAATGACAAGTTGAGAAGATAATCATAAGGTTTAGTCTTATTTCTGTTAAAAGATGCTTGAGTTTGAATGACTTATGTTTGATCTTTGTTGAATTAGACTAAAATTGTGTTAAACCCCTAAAATGTGGGAACAAAAGAAATGGATTCACAATCCCTCTTATTGCATGTTAATGAATTGGATTAATAGTTTGTAAAAACCATTACACCTTTCTTGGTCTCTAGGTAACAGGTTATATCTATATCTAGTCTCTTTGAGGTGACTGAGGGTCTGGCTCAATGTCAGGAGTGCAATAACAGTGTTTATTCATTTAACCCGGCTTCCAGAGAGTGGATTTGATATTAGTTAATTAACAGTGAAGGTGAATTTTTCTAATTATAGCCAGGACAAGGGTGCTTGTACACTTCCTATCAATGATACAGAGGAATGTGTAGCATCAGTACAATCACATCATTATTTGAATGAAAAGATATTTTAAGTGGACTTGACTGACATGGAGTTCAGCAAGGTAATAATTAAACATGGTAATGGTGCTGAATTGGACTATTGTGCTGTTGGCATGTTTATTGTGTGTTAATGTAAAAATGCTTCATTATTCTAATTTGAAGGTACAGAACACGCTGATAAATGTTTTAAAACTGGTGAAGATAAAGATGTTTTTGCAGGTCATGAATTGGAATCCTGTGTGGCTTAGGTCGAGTGGATGACCTTTTGTGTGTGATCAGAGGATCTCTGAGCCTTAGAATTGGCCTGGATATTTGGTTTTAGAGTTGGAGCAAATTGTAGATGCATCAGAGAAAGTATCGATGGAAATTATGAGTTGTTTACTTCTGGAGGACTTTAAGGGCTTGCGCATTTGTGTTCACATTCTGGACTTTGGTTCGCTATTGTTTTTTGTATGTTTTCACTTCTGCTTGCAGGACCCTTAATCCCACCGATGATGAGAAACGTGAACTCCTTTTGTGGGTGGAGAGTGGAAGAGCCCTTAGCTTGGGGACTGGAATTTTTAGGTTCCAGCTTGTCCAAGAAGGGGCTAAGAAAACTCTGCGAACTTATCAAGGGAGCATGAGTCATTACTTTCACTCTCCTTAGTGACCTCACTGGTTGACCGGAAGCGGAGTTTGGACTCCATTCTGGTCAAAAGGGGCGACTGAAGGATTCGGATTTCTGCTTTCCAGTCCATCTCATCATGGACCAACATTTATCCTTTTCATCATCCTGTTTCTCAGTATTTAACTGTGAATTGATTTTAATTAATGAATAAGTTAACACATTGCTTAATATAAGAATGTTCAGTGCATTTGCCTGTCTCTTTATACCTATTTTCAGGAGCCAGCAAACTAGGTCAGAAGTCATGGAGACCTTGAGTGGAACTGAGGGCTGAGGACTGGAAACAACTGTTTCTATTGTTATTATTTTTACGGTTAAATCTTTTAAAGTGATTCTATTTTTTATTTAAGATAGACTTTGTGTAGTAAGAATATAACTGCCTGAATGTAGATTATACCAGTTTTTAACCAGTTTCGATAAAGACGGCTGACAGTACACTCAGCCTTGGATAAGAAAAAGATTATACTTTATGTGTGTGTGTTCTATTTGATTGTTGATCCGTTTCACAGGTCTGGAGCCAGCTCTAATCAGTCTAATCTGATGTTTATGCTTAAGATATTGTTCAGAATATACGCACAAACCCCACGTGGAAATGTGTTTTAACCAATCAGGTTAGGACACCTGTATGTGTGACGCAGTTAATGACTTTATTTGAGAGTATAATTGTTATTGATTGGTGATTGTAAGCAGAGCATTGCGACTCATTGCGAGTGTTGAAGCTGGCTTCTGCGAATAAAACTGCAAACTATCTTCAGTAAACTTGATTTATTTATTTAAATCTCTGACTCCGGCTCTTCTTCATCTACCAGACTGGTCATTCTTTGGGTTAAACTGTAAACTATCCCTACAAAACATAGGATAAACAAGAGTTGACCCAGTACGGAACACTGTGGGACATTAGTAGTGATAATCTGACATCTTAAATCCTTAATTTGGACAAACTGAGTACGTTCTGCCAGATAGGACTTAAACCATAAAAAAGAGGTGCCAGAGATCCCTTGAGTCAAGCCGATCAAAAGGACCTATCGGTTCCAACATACTTTAAAATATCGTCTTTTGTGTTCAAATGGGGAAAAAGTTTGGAAGCACCTGTAATTGCATAAATTGTCGGTACATTTAGATTCTGTATAAACTGTCCCTGTGATATCAATGTGATGAAATAGTTTAAGTTATTGGTAATTGTTGATTAATTAATATAATTAATTTTAATATAACTGTGAATAAAGAGTTGTGCATGGTTTTGAAAGAAATATTTTATGCTTATCAAGGAGCTTATTTATTGTGCAAGGGACATTTCTTACATAAATACAACCTTTTATATTTTGTATGTGATTAGTCGTGAAATAATCATTAAACAGCACTAAATGTGTAGCTTGTCAGTGAACTAAGACTGTGTAGCGAAATCTGAACCCCAGACTTTTCTGATTTGCACAATCGTGCAGCCCTAAATCGGAAGATGCCAGTGCAGTACTTACAGAGATTCCAGTGTCTTTGTTAAGGAGGACCTGCAGCAGGTGTGGAGGCAGGATAGGTGGAGAGCGCAGTTTGTCCTCGGATTTAGTTGAGTAGGGATCCTGATGATACGGGCCGGGTGGAGAGCTGGACAAGTCTGACAGAAAAGATTTGAAGTCTGCATAAACCAGGGGTCCATTCTACATATCTCACATGAATGATCTAAGATGATTTGGCAGATCCTGAATATTTTAATCTTGATTACTGATCTCTGGCTAATTTGGTTCTTCAAACAAGTTCGTAAAACAGATTACAATGTCAGGCTGAACTGATCTGAGATTGCTGCATGAGTTGTGAAAGACAGATCTATCATTACTCGAAATCATGATAAGCTATAAACGAAATAATGATTGGCTGATGGCACAGCAGTGTAATGACATCATCCTATTAATATTCAGTTATCCATGTCAGCAAAATTACATAAAATTCATAGTAAACAGTTTGTTAAATATGATACGAAATAACTTTTGTTGTGGGCTGCAGGCTTTACACTTTCAAGGTATTTAGCAATTTATTTATACCAGCCTATATATTTATATTATACCAGCCTAGGCCTATTCATGTTTCTTAAGTGACATAAGGAATAACTGGCTGTTAAATTTATTTTGCATCAAAAAAAGCATTTTGCTATCGGTAAAGGTGACTGCAATTTTTGACAAACATTAAATAATAGCTATAATCGTAATAATAGCTAATCATAATAGCTGTTGAAACATGTGCATGACAAATAAATGAAAAAAAAACAAGTCGAATATTGTGCATGTCTATTATCATACACAAATTGTACTTAAGCTGGGTCGGTACCTTAAAATAGTACCTGTTTGCATCTAAAAAGTCCATATTAATAAATGTTCTCTTTGAACCCCTTGGGGAGAACCACCCCGTGACAGTCTTTGTATTTTTATTTATTGTATAATATAACTACAATACTCTAAGAAAATTTAAGCATTCCATACATACTTTCAGTATTACCTTTTCTTGAAATGACCTAATCTAATTCTGTTTATATGAAATAAGTCTGCTCCCGAGGTGGTTGGAGCTACCAGACCTGACAACAACTCTTGAAAAACTTTTGGAAAAAAAAAAAAAAACTTTTGAAAAACAAAACGATTGTCATTAACCAAATAAAGTTAGTGTTCGAGGTTACAGAAGTAACCCTTCGGGGAACGGAAGTGCTATAGGTGGATTTGATCTAGAGAAATCCATGTATGGGAGGATTCGGTTCAAAAGCCGCTTGTCTGAAAGAGTATTGAACGGGCCAATGAATTGGCAGCGTAAGCTTGTGCAGGTGTGCTTCATTGCCAATTATCCCAGCATATAAGCACACCTGGAGCGAGCAAAAGCCATTCTTTTAAGCTGAAGAGACTTTTAACAGCTAAGGGACAGTCATTATGGCGATGGAATAAAGCACTTCCGTTCCCCTCCTCGGGGAACAAAGGGTTACTTCTGTAACCTCGAACGTTCCCCTTCGGTTGGGAAACTCCAGTGCTATAGGTGGATTTGATCTAAAACATCCATGTATGTGAGACTATGGAAAACATAGTACTCAATAGTACTCTGTACTCAGGCAGTATTTGCGGAGCATGGACCTGAGAGTCAGGGTGCGCTTGAACGCTTTCATCAGACACTCAAATCCATGCTCCGCAAATACTGCCTGAGTACAGATAAGAACTGGGATGAAGGAGTCCCTTTGGTTTTATTTGCTGCGAGAGAAACAATTCAAGAATCGCTTGGATTTAGCCCAGCTCAGCTAGTGTTCTCTCACGAAATTAGAGGTCCGTTAAAAGTACTAAAAGAACGCATGTTGTCTGTTGAGACCAGTAAGAAAACTAACATATTAGATTATGTTAGTCAATTCCGTGATCGTTTACACTCCGCGTGTAAACTGGCTAAAGAATCTTTGGCCAGTGCGCAGAAAGGGATGAAGCGCAAGTACGACAGAAAGGCTGTTGCGCGCTCATTCGCTGTTGGAGGTTCTCGTACTTTTACCCGTACCTGGTTCTTCACTTTCTGCTCGTTTCGCCGGTCCGTACGAAATAAAAAAGAAACTGAGTGAGACGGATTATATGATTCATACACCCGATAGAAAACGCCAAACCCATGTATGTCATATTAATATGCTTAAAGTATACCATTCCAAAGAGACAGGTAAGGATGCCCCGGTTTCAAAGCCAGAATCCGTTGTTCCCACTGTTGTTGCAGTTGCGGAACAGACTTCTGCTGTGATGTCAGATGCTGATGATGGTGTAATTCTTCGTGACCTTCCCCAATCATCTGTGAGGTTAGTCAATTCAGAAATTTTGAGTGATCTAAATTCCTATCTCAAACATTTGCCTGCTGATCAGAAAACAGATATCATTAAGTTAATATCTGATTTTAACTGTTTGTTTGGTGATGTTCCAACCCAAACAAATGTGTTAAAACACGATATTAATGTGGATGGTGCACGTCCAATAAAGCAGCACGCATATCGTCTGAATATGGCTAAAAGATCTATTATGCGTCAAGAAGTGAACTACTTGCTTGAAAATAAATTGGCAAAACCGAGCAGTAGCCCTTGGAGTTCACCGTGTTTGCTGGTGCCAAAACCAGATGGAACGTACAGATTTTGTACTGATTACCGAAAGGTTAACGCAGTCACTGTCCCAGACAGCTATCCTTTACCACGCATGGAGGACTGCGTTGACAATGTCGGTTCTGCACGTTTTGTCTCTAAATTAGACATGCTAAAGGGATATTGGCAAATTCCGCTTACTGATAGAGCTTCTGACATCTCCGCATTCGTCACTCCAGATTCATTCATGCAATACAATTCGATGGCTTTCGGTCTTAGAAACGCACCCGCGACGTTTCAACGTCTAGTAAATACAGTGTTGGCCGACATACCAAACTGTAGCGCGTATCTCGATGATATAGTAGTTTACTCCATGAGCTGGCGTGATCATGTGCATTCGTTAAGAGAAATATTTACACGACTTTCTAACGCATCTCTAACGCTAAATTTAGCTAAATGTGAGTTTGGCCAAGCGACTGTCACATACCTGGGCAAGGAGGTTGGACAAGGTCAAGTTCGCCCTGTAGATGCGAAAGTAACCGCTATTTCGCAGTTTCCAGTCCCCACCACTCGCCGAGAACTACGGAGGTTCTTGGGTATGGCTGGTTATTACCGAAGTTTTTGCAAAAACTTTTCTACTGTGGTTAACCCCTTAACATCTTTGCTTAGCCCTTCTACATCATATGTGTGGTCTGATGCTTGTCAAAGTGCCTTTGATAGTGTGAAAGCACTTTTATGTAATGCACCTGTTCTTGCTGCTCCTGATTGTGCATCACCATTTAAGCTTGAGATTGATGCAAGTGCTGTAGGTTCTGGTGCCGTACTTCTTCAGGAGGATGAAACTGGTATTGACCATCCTGTGAGCTATTTCTCTCGTAAGTTTAATAAACATCAGCTCAATTATTCTACGATTGAAAAGGAAACCCTTGCTCTGTTGTTTGCTTTGCAACACTTTGAGGTCTACGTTGGTTCCAGCTGTTTACCTGTGATTGTATATACGGATCACAATCCTCTAGTATTCCTATCCAGGATGTACAATCATAACCAACGACTGATGAGATGGTCTCTGCTAGTCCAGAATTATAATTTGGATATTCGTCATAAAAAAGGCATTGATAATGTTATGGCGGATGCCCTGTCTAGAGCTTAATTTTTTTTTTTCTCTCTCTGGTTTATTTTAACAAACAGGTTTGTTCTTGAGGGTCAGGGTGTTACAGTCATATGTATATGCCTGTTTGTTTTGCTTGTGTGTGTGCGCTCTCTTTCTCTCCCTCTCTCGCTCGCTCGCTTGCTCCCTCCTCCTCTCTCTGTCAATTCTCAGGTTCGCCCATTCCAGTATCCCATTCGTCCGTGAAGACGTCAATCTCAATTACACCTTGTGACGTCATCACCTTCACAACCAATCAGCACAGGAGCTCAAAGTTTAAAAGGGATGCGAGCGGGGAAGCTCGTTCTGCTTTTGCTCTGCCTTGCTTGCGGTCTTTGCTTGCCTTTGTGTGTGTTTTTTGGCTTGTTGTTATGTGCTGTGATGTTGACGTGAACTTAGTTTTGATTTTGGTCTTGTTCTTGTGTTGATCGCTGTTACCGTCTTGGATGTGTATATGTGGCAATCTCCTAACGTCTGTCTTCAGCCTGTCTCTTGGATTCGAGGAGTTTAGATGTCACGTGACATACATATTGCATCACGTAGATAACTCCACTGTCTAAACACACTAGTTTAGAAGTGAGCGCCACCCGCTGTTAGTTTTCTCCGTATATTTGGTTAGAAGAGTAGATTAGTTATAGCGTGAAAACGCTGAAGATGTTTTGTTTGTTTATTTTGTATTAGACAGTTTAGAAGGAAATTATTAGTTAGAATTGGGGTTTTTGTTATATTTCTTTCATTTATTTGGCGCCACTTAACTCTCGTTTCCCCCACCATCTTTAATCTATATTGATTGATTTATGTTGTGAGATCTTGTAAATAATACTTTATTACTTTTTGACTTCCTTTCACTATTGTAAATAAATTCACTTATTTTTGCAGTATTTTGGTTGTCGTGTTGATATTTTGCCACCAACTGACCACAAAATATTATCACCTTAAATGTTACCTTTTAAACCCTAGATACCAAAACTTAAAAGTCGTAACACTGCACCTTACCAACGCCTCCGATGAGAGGGCAGTCAAGCAAGCGTGACGTACCCAAATGATGGAAGGCGCGGTCCTCCAATGTGCCCTTGGCCCTAACTTATCCCCACTTTAAAGAGCCCATATTATACATGAAATAGGGTCATATCTTGGTTGTAAGGGTCTCCAACAACAGTTTAATATGCATGCAAGGTCAAAAAACACTTTCATGGTCTCATAATCTGCATTTATTTTTACCTAATTATCCCAGCGACTCCCGTATGAATCGTCCAGTGATTCATTTGTTCCCAAACCCCTCCTTAGCGCGAAGCTAATCTGCGCTGATTGGACCAATGACAGTCTGTTGCGATTGGTCGACTACCTTCAGTCAGAGAGTGAAATGCCAAACAGCTAATCAGCAATATAAAAGTAA